GTGTCCTGCGAAATTTTTGACCTCTAGTTTTCTCCGACTCCATTGGATGTTGAATGCGAAAGTAGAGAGTTAGGATTTTTATGCCAATCAGTTACTTCTTAAATTATCTGCGGAAAAAAATCTATGAAAACGGCTTTCATTTCAACATTTTGAATGGTGTATAGGAATATGCGCATTCCATTAGAAGCTTCTGGTAGAACTTTGTAATGATTATTGAGGACATAGTAAGTGAATATCTGAATCTGCTAGTCATGTACTAACTCTGTGTCTTTGCAAATTATGCGCACGTAGGGCAACCACTGGTCTAGAATATGAATCGGCTAAATTCGTACCTGGTTCTCTCCATACTTAAGGGTTTAAGTCTTCTACTCCTGCAACTAGACTGTAGCAGACCAAGGAAAAATTTTTGTTTTTGTTACTCGTTTTACAATGTACAGAGGTGTAAGAGTAGTTTACACGTTTTTTTCCAAACCTAGTAGGAAATTTGAAGATCTCTTTGAGAGTTTCTGCTCTAGCGAACCTTCTGTTGCACATCCCACCAATCAGGACGAGAGAGAAGTACCTGGCATTCCTTCTACATCGGATGCGGACAATGGGGAAGTTTTGGCAACTACACCAACGCTTTCACCAGCAATTCAAGCAAACTGGACGAGTCAATTAAAGAACGATCTCGGAATTGGTATCTCAAGCCCCCCACGCCAACAACAGTTCACTTCAGTGCAGTCCCTTACTTCCGCTCCAGGTGAGGTTATTCGCTTATTTTATCCATTTCTAAACAGTCATTTCAGATTTGAGAAGTAGATATTTTACTTCGCTTTTAGCTGGTGTTGAATTCGTCACAGCAACAGTACCGCCTGGGCTTTCGGATTATCACTTTGGATTCGTAGATGGACCGCAAAGCACGGATATTCCCACTTCCGCTCCTTCAGTTGCTAACGCTTCGAATGACGTTCTTTTTTCATCCTCTCGCTCTGCAACAAATGCCACAGGAGGTGCTGTACCATCAAAGGTCTCAGAGGTTGGGCTCGTCATTGTTTTTTTCTTTAAACGTTTTTCGTAATTTATCATGGATTGCTCACAAAAAAAA